ATTAGCATCTTAATCATCATCTGGAAAGAGAACATTCTAGAGTAATATCATTAAATGTAGCTCTGATAAAGCACAGTCCCTACTACGTATCATAAAGCAGGTACAAGATAATTTACATTCATAGAGGTATGATACAGTACCGTCCTACATCAATAATACTAGAATCAGTTTTGGTTTGATATTTACTTTGTCTGGAAATAAGATTGCTACCCCTGCTTTTTTCTGAGCTCCTGTCACATGGAGAATTGTTTTCTATCTTTTCACTTTCAGTCTATGGACTTCTTTTTGCACTAGGTGTGTTTCTTGTATACAACATATTGTTGGATTTTGCTTCTTATTCCATTTTGCCAGTGTATTTCTCTTGATTGGTGAGTTGAGGCCATTGACATTGCTGGTTACAGCTGATATGTACTGACTTATTATTGACATGTTATTGGCCTTTTGCTGACTCTTTTTACTTTTTCACCTGCTCCTCTTAATTTCTTGTCTTGCCTATTTGATTTGCTCTGTTGGGCCTCATGGTGTTGTTGCCTTCATTGTCTTTTTTAGGATCTTGTTTAGAATTCCTTGTAGTGCTGGTTTGGTATTCATGTAGTTTCTCAGGTGTTCTTTGTCGTGGAAGTGTCTTATTTCCCCATCCATTTTGAAAGAGAGTTTTGCTGGATACATCAGTCTAGGTTGGAGGTTGTTCTCTTTTAGTACTTGAAATATCTCATTTCAGGCTCTCCTTGCCCCAAGGGTTTGTGTTAAAAAGTCTGCTGTGATTCTAATGGGCTTTCCTTTGTATGTGGTTTGTTTCTTTTCTCTTACTGCTTGTAGTATTTTGTTCTTCTGTTGGGTTTCTGGGATCTTGATTATTATATGTCTAGGTGTAGATTTTTTTTGATTGTAGCTAGTTGGGGTCCTATATGCCTCAGTTATCTGAATGTCAAATTCTTCCCCTCTGTTTGGTAAGTTTTTGGTCATTAATTCTGCGAACAGTTTTTTAAGTCATTTGTATTTTCTCCTGCTACTTCATGTATTCCTATCAGTCTTATGTTATTCTTCTTTGCATCATCTAGGAGTTGTTGGATCGATTTCTCATGATCCCTTACTGTTTTTAAGAGACCTCTCTTTTCATGGTCACTGACTGCAATCTTATC